CTCCTTCTCCGCCTTTCCCGCATGGATACTACGTAGATTCCAGATGATCTTGAGCGTCAATACCGAGTCCTCCGCCCACGCCTACCCAGTGTTTAATACCATCGAGACTGCTGTGGAGATGACGCACCTCGTCCAAAGCATTCCCGACGTCCAAATTGTACCCACCAGCGTAGCGATTGAGCCGGAAGAACGCATCCAGCGTGGCAGATAGCGTCGAGTTATACGCAGGTGCTCCTTTTTGCGTCAACTTCCGGTGCGAGACGCGCGTGCCAGCATGCTTGAGGTTCCCCGTTAACATCCGATGCAAACGAAAGACGTCTATCGTCGTCTCGGGGCTCTTGACATCAGGGAGAGGCGGGATGAGAGCTTCCAGAAAGTCGGGGTCGAAGAGTTCTGAGATCGCTGGAAGGGTGGAGTTTTGGCAAGGCCGCGTACGAAAGACAGGGAAGCCTCCGGTCGTCGCTGAGCTGTGGGCATGGCGGAGTAGCTGTCTAAATGGGCGGAGGAGGGCAGAGCGTGGGAGCGCTATCTCGGCGTTGCCCAAAAGAGACTCGGACGTGCGCAGAAAGAGAGGGTCGCCGGTGCGGCAATTTGAAAGAGAAAAAGCAAATGCCGAGCAAACAAAAACTACAGTTTTTGGCACCGGGCTAATGCCAAGCTAATGCATCGAGGGATTCGAGCCCACTGATTCGACTCTCGAGCCGGGCCCGGGTCGAATGTCGAGTTACCACAATGCTACACCCTGAGACCGACAGTAGGCCGCTATCAAGTATCTGTAGCCTCAATTTGAAAGAGGAAAAAAGGTACTAAGGTAGGCAACTTGTACATATCGCATTCTGTCTCACTCCAAGGCGGTTGAAGTGCCAGTGCGTGGACCATGGAATCTTGAGTTGAATCTTCAACATTTCAACTGCAATGGAAATCCTTGGTGAAACTCTTGCCAAGGAAGTCAAAGACTCGGAGTACTTACGGTGTATTGAACCCGACCAGAAATCAATGCTGTAGATAGGGAGGCAATGTGATACTGACGACTGACGACACGTATATTCAAGAACACAATAACACTTGAATGGAGGAAACAGAAAGGGATAGCAAGACAACATTCGGTTTAGTCGGGGACCGTGACGGATAGCAAAAACCACAGAGCAATACCTGCAGGCACATTGGACGGGGTGTGGCAATAGGTAAATAAACCTTCAGGCCCAAGGCCGACGGTGTTTCAACCCCGGGACGACTGAACATAGCGAGGCCGTTTTCCTCGAGCACATCCACTCCTTGACAAGCAGACTGCAATAGTTGCAGAGCCTCCCAGTCCGAAGCATCCTGGATATTGTAAGCAAGGTCTCCATACGTGTGTGATCAGACATACAGAAGGAATTCCGCTTTGAAGAATTTCCAGCCAATCGTCGTCGTGGCTCATGACGACCGCTGCACTGGGACACTGATTGGATACGGGTCAGGAAATAAATCAGTGGGAGGAAAAGACTCGCCATGCGGAGAAGATATGCGTTCAGGACTTGTGACGGATGGAAAAGCTGAACAATCGTGTCAAATTGAGCATCATTAAACAACTTGAACTCACAGCTCTCGTGGGTGAGATATCGGACATCGTAGCGCCAGAATCATGCCCTCCAGCTCCGCGACTACCCCAGAACGAACCAAAACCCCAGATGGAATTGCTGAATCCCTGCGCCCCGTAAGGGATGTATTCCTTGCTACTCCGTCCGAGCCGGGCGTCAACTATGGGAGCGACCTCGACCGTTCCGAATAATCTGGACCATAGGCTCGTTCCAAGCGAAATGGAGAATCCGTGTATGAAAACGGTCTGATTTAGGGGCGTTTGGTCCATCGCAACAGGCCCCGAGCTTTTCGTCCGCGTTGCGCCTGATGTAGTCCATCGGTAAGATTTCTGTGAGGCGAACCCCGAGTTGACGAAGGTCGGTCCAAAGGATATTCGAAACAGATAACGTGTAGGTGGGATTTCCTGGAATGCAGCTATACCCCATGCACGAGCCTTCTCCCACCCAGTGATGAGATACAACGAGCCGTTGGAGAGTTGTCGTCCGCGAGCGCCGTTGACGTATTTATACCAGTTCTCAGCGTTCTGACGCGTATATTGCAGCATGTCCCCGAAATTATCCAGTCGCTCGATGTGAGATCCGAGCGGCAGAGCGAGTACTGCACCCTGGGGCCCCAGACAGTCAAAGAAGAACTCTCCGTCCTCGTAGGGCTCGGCACCGTACGTACCGTATACGGTACGGGTGCATTTTACGGAAGTACGGACACGGCAGAGGCACGTACGGAACGATACGGCATGTCTGCGATGGCGTACGGTACGGTACGTGTGCGATACGGCCGTATACGGGTGTACGGATGGCTTCGAGCCTCCACTAGGTAATTTAGGTCGAATCTTTCTCAATGTATGGGAGACTCACCTGGGATGGATGTACAGGCATCCATGCCCACAGATTCACCCATGAGGATGATATTTGCCGCTCACCGAGCGATATGTCACACCGTGACAAGGCGGGCCGACGAACTCTGCCGCCATCACAACGACGGCGGGGTGCGATGGTGTTACTAGCGATGTCAATTCTGCTGATTGTCGACAGCTGGAACCCTGGCGGTAGCTTGGCGGTGGCCCGGAACAGCCGGGACCTCGGCAAACAGTAAGTGCCAGCAGCATGGGCGCATACGGCCGTATACGGCCGTAGATCCGTATACGGTACGGATGGCTACGGACCCCTGCCGCATACGTACGGAACCGCCACGCGCGTCCTGGACTGCCCACGGTACGGGACGGTTCACGTACCGTACGTACGTATGACCGTACGATGCGGCTACGGTGCCGAGCCCTACGTCCTCGCTACTTGCAACTATCAGACACATGGCGATGAATGGATAATGACATACCCGTCAGATAGGCCTGGGTCCACCTTGTGAACAGCAGACGTCGAGACATGCTGCCCCGGGAGATATTCAATCGGCAGCACATTCTTCGAGTCGTACGGCGCCAACGGACAAAAAATTTCAGGCACGTCGTTGTCGTTGATTGGATGGTCCGCGGGGAGGTAGATGTTGAAAAAGAAATCGAAGACCCCCTCCGGAGTGACCCTGCCGACGTCTCCGATGGAGACACCGCGATAGCCGTACTCTGCAGGAAGATTGCCGCGCGGAGCTGGGATATACAGCGGAAAGCCGCGGCCACGACGGAGGAGTTGGCTGCAGTAGCTTTCGCTGTCAGAGTAAATGTGTTCCGGATACACCAAGGGTTGAGTTGGCGGTTCTCGGACTGCATTCCGATGAGTGTATGGCTATATACCCAAGATGCGACTTACCCGTAGGCGCCTCCCCTCGACTATAGGTAACGTTCATATCTCCCAAAACATTGGTGAACTGGGACCCATGGATGGCCAAACCGCTAGTATTCGTGAACATCGGCGCGTTCCTGGATCATGGGGAGCCGTATCGTAGTCAGATTCCAGCCGAGTGAGTGCCCCGACCCACCTTGTGGTATCCAACGCAGCCGTCGACTGCGCCTCGAGTCCAGCGACCGGTTCCATCCCTCGATGACGGTGTTGTAGTGGTGCGTACCGTGCACCCAGCCTCAGCAGAGACGAGGCAAAGTGGAAGGTGAGGTGGTCGCCGGTCGGTGCTGTGCGATGCACAGCCAGCTGATGGCTAATTATGTTCAAGATGAGTGATGTATCACAAGTTGCGACACGGCAACGACCCGGGTTACGCAGCAAGTTGAAACCATGTAGGCTACTCCCTCTCCTCATTTCGACCGCGCCGCCTCTCTGAAGGCTTCCTACAAGGGCTTCAGCGCAAGATATCGAAGACGAGCCAGAAATCTTACCGTCTTGTCCGCGTCATGCGTCCACCCACCGCAGCAACAAACGTCCTCTATATCCGCAATCCTCCCGCAACAAAATCGCATCTTGGAACCAGTTGCAACGTACTCACGGGAAAAAAATCCACTAATCCAACCGCGTCGGCACCGCGCGCGCTGTGTTCTTGTTGATAAAAAAGTGTTTCCAGATATGCTTGGCTCCATTGGGTGCGTTCTCCGGCTCAAAGACCACCGTCAAGGCGTAGCGCACGACGCCGTAGAATTCGTTGCCCATTTCGATGCAGCCCATGTTACACGCCTGGTCGTAGCGGCCATGGACGTGCCTTGGAATTTGGAGACACTCTCTCGGTCGACGCTCTCGACGATGAATCGTTGAGAGATGGGGATGGTCGTGTCGCCAGTGTGACGAATCTGCGGGTACAAGCAGTAGGTGTGTTCGCTGTGAGGCAAGAGCGCAGTTTTTGAGCACAGTGTCAGACTTCATCCACGCGTAGATGTCCGGGGCAGCAGACGCGATAGCGGTCATCTCGGTCAGTTGAATGCGTCCCTTCTTGTACTACTTGCACGCGGTTTTGTGATTCGGCCAGTCTAAGACTTGACACTCTTTCGACTGTGGATGTTTAGAGAATGTATGTATCGGTCTTCCTTGAGCCACACACGCAGTACATGTCGATTTGACATCCGTTGCACAACGACAACTTCAAGGCGTGGCCGCGCTGGATTTTGTAGCATGGGCTGCACTTTTGGTGTGTATGGACAGGGACAGGGAATCTTGGTTGTGGAAGAGGTCCAAGTTGTGATCGGTCGAAGCGAGCATGGTGGTGGTACGAAACCAATAAATGATAGGCGAGGCCCGACCCCAGCACTGGGGTCGAAGAGTTCTGGAATCGGTGGAAGGGTGGAATTCTGCTTAGACCGCGTACGTGAGACGAGGTGAGACGGTCGTCGCTGCCAGTGAGCTGTGAGCGCGGCGCAACAGCTGCCTAAGCGGGCAGAGGAGAGGGGAGCGTGGGAGCGTCATTGCGGCGCTACCCCGAAGACAGTGGGCAGGTAATACAAGTAGTTGGTTCGTAAAAAAGGGTGGGGAAACAGAAAGAGAGGCGAGAAAGAAAATGCATGGGCAAAAAGTTGAATCGTGGACCTCTTATGCATTAAGGGGGAATCGAACCCCCGGCGGGTCGAAACATTGCGTTCGACAAAACATGGCAACGACCCAGGTTACCACTACCCCATTAATGCGATGGCAGTGGAGCCTCTCACTATCTAGATGTATAGCCAATCTCCCGAAAGGTTTGTCGTTGCAAGCAGGAAATCTTTCATACCCAGAACGAGACTCAGCCCAAGATTTCTCAAGGCATTGACGAGCTGCGCGCCACCGAGGGTTGGAGGCGAGACCAACCGCCTGGACCTTGTACTTGACAGTAGCTTCACAATTCACTCTTCAAATCCAAAGAAATCATCAAGAATCCAGTTACATTACTAGGGCTACAAGTGAGTGAGTGTCGAATATGTGTATACATTAGGTTGCTGTTAATACGAGGTAGATATGCAAAAGAGAGAGTGCGTCGTATGTACGTCGAATACAGACTGAATCAAGAAAGACGGAAGAAGGAAAGAAAGACAAAGCAGAAAGGAAAGAAAGGTCATCTCAAGAAGATCTCCAACGGAATGGGCTTCCTCTTCAACCCCTCCCCACTCCCCGTACTGCACTCGCTCGCCCCATCGCTCGCCGGCGACCACGCAGACGAAGATGTGCATGTAGACGCAGACGTAGACGAAGCAGATGACAACGGCCGCTCACGCCGGCGTGGCGAACGCTGCATCGCCATCGTCAAAGCAGGAGAGGGTGAAGGTGAGGGAGGAGGGTAAGAGGCGTATTGAGCCGAAGCGCTCGCAAACACATCAGGACTCATACAAGCCCCCGCGAGAACAGACGTCTCCGCAGGCCTCCCAACGACCACGACGTCAGCCACCGTCAACGACTTGGTCTTCAGCTTCGGATTCCTCCCCGCCGACCGGTGGTACAAAGCCTGACTCGTGCCTATCGGCTTGGGCTTGGGCTTCGGCGCGCGTGGAGACTTGCTCGCAGGGGACTTGGGCGAATGCGAATGCGAAGGGAAGTATCGTCGCGCAAAAGAGAAGTTACTCTTCGGCGAAGGGGAGATGGGCGAACGCGGGGAGCGGCCGTGGGCAGAGTGGACGGAGGACAGCGTGGATGAGGACCAACGCGAACGGAGGACGGGGCTGATTTGGGGACTGGATGTAGATGCAGCTGGAGGCGCAGGAAGAATCGGATCGCGAGCCAAGGCAGCTCTCAAGACCGACGCCCTCGGCTGTGGGTGCCAGCCTTGATACGGCGGGACGACGGGGGAAGCCGAGGGTGCAGGTGATGGGGCACGCGGCTGATCAACGCCCAGCCGCAGCCCACTTGGCTTTACGTGCCGGTGATGGAGACGATAGAGGCGAATCTGGGACTGGGGACGAAGGGGCGATAGGCGAGACCGGCGAGGCAGCAATCAAAGGTGAGATCGGGAGCTCTTTGTCGTACCCGTACGCGGCATCGTACTCCTGCCAGTCATCCTGCTCGACATCGGATTGGCTGTTGCGTGAGGAGGCAGCTGGAAAACGGTCAGTCAGTAACTCCCGATGTAAGAAAGAACACGTACTCGAAGATTCAGCTTCAAATAAAGGCGCATACGCCGCATAGTCCTCCAACGCAAAATCAAAATCATCACTCGCGTCGCACGGAACTGGGGTGCGTGGTGGTGGGCGATAGGGCGGAGGCCTTACAGACGTCGGGCGCGAGAAGTTGGGTATTTCATAGCCGGACGCTGACCGGCTGTGTCGGTGGCGAGTAATGATGGGCGGCGGGGGAGGGGCACGCGCGGGAATGCTACTCGAGCGGCCCAGGCGAGGAGGGGAGCATAAGTGGGGTCGAGTTGTGATGACGGGCGTACAATGACATCGGAGGAAGGAGGGAGAATGCAGGACTCGCGGTTGGTGGCACGAGTCGTAGCAGAGGACATCGACGAAGACGTAGTGGGGAAGGAGGAAGGGAGGGGCGCAGCGAGGGTGATGAAACCAGCTGCGTGCGCTGCGTAAAAGTCGTCATCGTCTTGCCACACGTCGGTGACCCGAGCAGGAGGAGGAGGGGGAGGAGGGGGAACGGGGGACACAGCACGCTTGGCGACGCGCAATGGCTTGATGCTCTTGCATCGTATGATACACTGAGCACCCGTCGCATGTGCCACCTGGTAGCTCTCCGCAATAGGCGAAGGCGTAGGCGTCGTGAGCTCGGAATCCGAGCTGCTCCCACTGCTGCTCCCACTCGACTCGGCTTCGTCGCACAGAGGACGGGGAAATAGGTCGAGCGTAAGACGCCACTCGTCCTCGTCGCTGGGGATGTGTAGGTTGGAGACACCCTGCCGCCGTTTGGCCTTGATGTTGGTGGTCGGTGCAGATTCTTCTTCGCAGATACTGGTGAACCCAGTCGCATTGGAGGAGGCGCGACGGGCAACTCGAGATTGGCGCTTGATATAAGCTGCTGCTGGACGACATTGGCACCGCTGACGAGACGAGGTGGGCGGATTCGACTCACAATTCATGGAGGATGTCGTTGTCGTGAATGAGAGTCGTAAAGTCGTCCTGGAGAGGCGTGGAGGGCGGAGAGAAGAGGGAGTAGGTGAACAATAGAGGCCTCCATGCCGTTTTTAAAACGACGTGGGGGTGTGCGAAGACGCATAATGCCCAAGCGAGAACAATGGCCAGCACAGCCACACGGGCAAAGTACAATAGCAACGTTAATAAGCTTGCGGCCAAAGCTTTCACGAAAAAGATCCCCCGGCGACGTCGGCTCTGGGACTTGACGAAGACGACCGTGGACGAGAGAGAGAAATTGGAGAGACCATCAGCCGAGCGCATTACGTGATCACTTTGCCTTCTCCTTCTGCCACCAATTTTCCACTGGACTCTAGGCCTCAAGAGCCTTCCAGTACGCGTCTAATTTATGCCTCTGACTGCAGTTGGTCTAAGCCCGTATTCTTTGTCTCTTCCTCTGCCTTGCGGCATGCATGCCCCACGATTCATCTTTCTTCCCTGTGGTGTGAAGTTTCTTCGTCATTCATTCTTCGTATCCAATCTCGACTTGGAAGCCACTCTCCAGCTTATTGGCTCGCCGCCGTCCTCCAGATTGAACCACGCTAGCTTTTGAATTATCTCTAGTCTTCCTAGTCTGATCTCCGAATACTCTCCCATTGTGACGGCTGCCTCGACACCGAAACTCATTTAGAATCACCCAGAACCCCGTTTGTGGTCGGCTTTCCCTCTCCGTCTTTGAACTAACTCATCTCTGATCTTCCTTGTTCGTCTGCTGGTCTCTGAGTAATCTGCCTTTGGCATTCCTCCCTCGACACCGAAACTTATTCAGAATCGCCCAGAACCCCGTTTGTGTCCGGCCTTTGAAGGAATACTCTAAGATTAGCTCGTCCCTGCCACCACTGTCTGGTTGCCATTGTCCGACTCGTTGATCGAGGCTGCCACGAATTTGCAGACTCAAGGCCTCCCGCGTCCATGGAATATTTGGCCAATCTCCTTCGGGTTCCTTTCGCGCTCAGCCTCGCGTCTCTGTGTCTCTTCCTCAGCTTGTCGGACGGCACTAAAAATCAACACGGACGACGACGTTGTTACAACGGCAACAGACTATACACTTCGTCGCATCGACATTCTTTTCATTCACAATTCGGTCCTGCTGGCGGATTCGGAGATTTGGACCTCTGCTCGTCACTGGGGAATGGACACTTTGGTTTTCGCTCATTCACAAGTCGCGACGTCTGAATCTGCAAGCCGCATGTCCAACTACCCCATCGCTGGTATCAAACCTTTTATCGAAGGTGTTGGGCAATTAGCAGTACTACCCGCTTCTTCTTACCATGCATCGGTGGGAGTCAAAGATTCGATCAACCACTGGCAGACGTCTCGCTCTCGAGACTCACATTCTTCCTGGGTTTCTTCATTCGTCAAACTTCTCTAAGAACACGTCTTCAATATATTGACTCTGGAGTTTCGACTTCGGAACTTGCCAGTATCCAGTTTCTTGGCTCGCCGTCCGAAAAACGCTAGCTTTTGAATTCTATGTATATAATCCGGTCTCTGTATACTCTGCTTCTGGGATTCCTCCCTCAACGTCAACACCCACACCGAATCGCCCGAATCGCTCGAAACCCCCGTGTTTGAAGCAACTCTCGGAGATGTATATTGGGATGCTGGTAACACCTTTCATCGGCGGTCTCGGGGAATCAGCAGTACTCTCACACGCACCCTCTTCTTGTTACCTTCATGCATCGGCGGGAGTCAAATATTTTCCATCAACCACTGGCAGACATCTCGCTGTGTCAAATTCCAGGGCGACAGGGTTATCGATCTCCAGTCTTCCATTCCTCCTCACGCTGGCATTTATTGATTCTCCATTCAATTCCGCGAACTTCAATCTCTCGCGTCTCGACTTTGCAACTTGCCAGTTGCCGTTTCTTCTTGATTTGACGTGGTCCTCCAGACAACCTCCAGATCGTAAAATGCTAGCTTCTGAATTCCATCTAATCTAGTCTCTGGATACCCTGCCTTTGGGATTCCTCCCTCAATGTCAACACCCACACCGAATCGCCCGAAACGAAACCACCTCCGTGTGTGAAGAAAATCTCGGAGATGCTTTATGGGGAAGTTATCCCAGGCTGGACGTCCACTGTCCGAATGCAATTGGTCATGAGCAAGTCCGACTCGCTTAGAGTCAGAATAGGTCACAGTCATCGCTACTATCATCCTGATTGCTGCCAGAGTCCAGCTCAAGTCGTTCCGTCCTCTTGACTGACTGACCATGTTCTTAGATGGATTCGAAAGACGCTGCTTCCAGAACAATAAACCAGTTATCCATTGTTCCCAAGATAGTAGATACAGTGTAGCTAGTAGAACAAATTGCAGATTGAATAAATAAATCCTGTTCGTTCGTCGAAAGCGAAGTTGACTCGAGTATGTAATAGAGGAAGGCACGGATCCAAGAATTACACAGCACAGGGCTCGTTAGCACGGGCACGACGTCGCGGCTTTAACATATCGCTATCGAGTCTGCGAAGGAGGAGGAGGAATCAGCATTGGATGCGAGAGGGAGGGATGGAATGCTCACATGTCGGACGTCGGCGCGTGTGTAACAGGTGGATACAAGCATGAGCAGCTTATCCATGACTACG